GTTACCATGCAGGGTACGTTCCGATATATCGAACCGTACCCAGAGTACCCTCCGATAGTACCTTGGGGGACATAGACCCTATGAGTATGAGCTCCACTAACGAGTCTAGGGAGTCGCCTACGCCTACTCCCTAACCCTAACCCTAACCCTAACCATATCAGATAGTTACCAGGGTACGTGCCGGCAGTACCCAGGGAGACATAGACCTTATCAGCGTCAGTGTCACACTGACAGTATGCTGACAGTGACACTGAGAGTGACTGAGTGAGTAACACTTAAGTATAGTATCTGTATCAGTGTCAGTGTTAGTGTGACTATATTACGTGACAGACAGTGTCACTGACACTGTCACGTAATACAGTCAGAAGATTCAACAAAGTATCAATGACAATGTTGATGTTGCGTACTTATTTAGCTGTGACTGCATGAGTGTGAGTCGTGACTGTTGCTGTTACTGTTAGCATTCATTTCAGAGCTTCAATGCAAGTAGTACACGATAACGGAGTCTGAATACAGGTTGTGTGTATCATGTAGTGCTGTACTACTATTACTACTAGTACTATACTATTTACTAGTTGTGACTTGTGTTAATACAAACAGGCTTGAGGTCAGCAAAGAAATTCCAGGCGCGTGATCAAGCTCGTACAGTGAGCTTTACTGCAGAGGGTGCTGACGGTAGTAGCGACGATACAGACGATTACGATATCGAAACGGAACTCCATAAACCAGACAGTAAGACGAACAGGCAAAAGTATCACTTCATCTACCATTTTGAAAACGTATAATTCAAAAATAGCTTATAACCATTATTTCATACCATCTTCCAGCCAATGTTAAATATTTAGTTTAGATGAAATATTAAGTTGATCCATTTTGATATATGTTCATGTATGGTTGACTGTAGTGTAATTTCATGGGAACTGGAAATGTATCACAAGCACAATTAAGATTATCAATGAATGTTGTCGCGTTAATGTCGTAAACGATTCGATAAAATTGAAAATAACATAGCTAGCTGACACGTGTGTATTCCAGCACTGCTAGAAAAAGATGACAAAGGCATATCAGGGTATGAAGTCTATGCATTCGAGACCCCAAAACGTTCTGGACAAATGGAGCAAAAAGGTTCGAGCAAAGGCTGGCTGAAAAACTGGTGAAAGCTGGTTTGCAATCTTCGCTATATATATACATTAGTTGTGGCACGCGACCCACGCGTATGGTATTTCAAAATATGATGGTTACTGTCATTGCTATATGCAGTCAACATTTTAATTCTATTGTGTTCCATTGATGTTGGTATTTCTACCGTTTAAGAAGTGCACTTCACACTACTTCGTGCCAAGCGGTCGGAACTGAAACGTTTACATTAGCAAATCTTCATTATCCTGCGATCTTGTTGTTTTGATTACCAATCTTGTTTATAAAGCCAGCGAGAGTGCCAAGAAGACAATGACCCCACAGCCGATGCAAACGATTTCAAACGGGCGGACTGCGGCAAAAACGCCGACTCGCAAAGGTAGCAAGACGGTGAAGACGCCAACCCGGAAAGCTAGCAAGACGCCGTCCAAGCAAGGTGGTAGGACGCCGACGAGTAAGGGAAAGGGAACTCCCAAGCAGATGCCTGGCAGAAACACGGAGATGGTGGAATCGAGGAGGGCGGCCGATACGCCCTACAGACTGAGACGGCTCATCACCAGACGTACGTTCGCGCACCACACGTCACGACAACGACGTCGTTAATCGGAGTAATAACGATCCTCATTAGTAGTCGTCTCGCCGCTATTCTGCGGGTTCCGAATGCATGGACGATTTCGCAACATGAGGCGCGGTTCAGGTGCCTGCGCAGTTTGCGATTCCAAGGTCGCATTACTAATTGTCGAAATAATTCATGGAGCGTGATGAGTGAGATGGAGAGAGAAAGAGAGAGATAGAGAGACAGAGAGAAAGAGAGAGTGCGTGTGTGTGTGAGAGAGGTGGAGAGAGAATGAGAGACAGAGAGAGAGAGAGGGAGAGAGAGAGACTGACTGTTCTTTGCTTCGTTCAGGTGTAGAGGAGAATGTGAAAGCTCTCGATTCAGACGAATCGGACGAGAGCGACGAAGACTACGATGACAAGGATGACGATGACTCCTCGAGCAATCACAGCGAGATAGCGGGTGGGGAGAGTTCAGTCAGCGCTGGGTCGAAGGGCATCGCCGTGGCGACGGATCGCGGACAAACACCAACGTCGGGCCACAGGACGCGTCAGAGACGGGATGATCGGGTGAACGTAAGTTCCTGCCTCACGAGACAACCCAAAGTGCTGCCACGGGGGATACTCGCACTTTGGTTATGCTCCTGATTATATTCGGTTCTCGACGGGGATATCACTTACCGTATTTACTCGTGTATAAGTGCATTTTTTTGTACAGAACTTGAATAAAAAAATCAGGTGTGCGCCTGGTTGCCATATTCGTCATTGAAGCGTTAAGATACCGCAGCCAAGAAATCGTCATGAAGGGATGGCCTTGTGTTGTTGTTTTATCGCAGCCGGACATGGTGGAAGAGTACTTTGACGCGCACGGCCGCGCTACGGTGGCGACCTCTGACCGCACGCTCGCGCGCCTGCGCAACCCGCGCCTCGACCAGCAGTCGCTCGCGTCCGTCCTGAAGAGCGCGCCACTGTCTCACGCGCGGGAGAGCGCGGCGCTGTACGACGAACACAGAGAGCTGTTCACGAGGTGGATGTTCCAGTTCAGGTCGGTCGTTATCGTCGACGCGCACACATCGCGTCTCTTGCTCTCTCTCTCTCTCTATCTCTCTATCTCGTTCTCTCTCTCTCTCTCTCTCTCTATCTTCTTTTTTCCCCCCCTTTCTTCCCTTCTCTTCTCGCTCTATTTTCCGCTCGCTCGCCTCTGTCTTTTTCTCTCTCTCTCTCTCTCTCTCTCTATCTCGTTCTCTTTCGCTCTCTATCTCGCTCGCTCGCTCTCTCTCTCGCTCTCTCTCTCTCTCTCTCTCTCTCTCTCTCTCTTTCTTTCTCTCTCACCTCTCTTTCTTTCTCTCTCTCTCCATCTCTTTCGCTCCTCCTCTCATCCTCTCGAATCTCTCAATCTCTCTCCCTCGCTCTCCCTTCTCCCTCTTCCTCTCCCTTCTCCCTCTCCTCTTCCTCTCCCCTCGCCTCTGACCTCTCCCTTCTCCCTCTCCTCTCCTTCTCCCTCTCCTCTCCGCTCTTCCTCTCCCTTCTACCTCTCGCCTCTCTATCTCTCTCTCTCTCTCTCTCTCTTTCTCTCTCCCCCTTGCTCTCCCGCGCTCGTCATCTAAATCTAATCTATACATCATCACATTGTGTAAGCTCTGTTTCAGTGAACGGCTTACAACAATACTGCACTGTATGGCCTCGGGCTCAAAGAGGGTTGTCATGACAGTTCAGAGTCAGCTCCTGTGCCAGCACTATCGACAACCTCGTCCGGTGATTGGCTCTTTCCCAGCTCCTCCATCAAGCATTTGTGTGTATCAAGCTTCTTTTAAAGCCGCTAATGAATATCAGGCTCAGCAAGTTAATCAATGCTGGGAGGCACTGAGAGAGTGTGAAAAAGAGCGGGTGGAGAGGAGAAGAGAGAGGGTGGAAGGAGAGACAGAAGGAGAGCAGACGACGAGAGAGAGAGAGCGAGACAGATGTGTGAAAGAGAGGAGAGAGAGGAGAGAGAAGAGCGAGGATAAGAGCGAGGGAGTGAGAGAGAGAAGAGAGATGAGATGGAGACAGAGCCGACGAGGGAGGCGGTTGAGAGACGAGCGAGAGCAGAGAGAGACAGAGTGAAGAGAAGAAACGAGAAAGAGAAAATAGAGCGCGGAAGAGAGAGAAATGATATCATATAGAGAGAGAGAGAGAGAGATAGAGACGAGACGAGAGCAAGGCAAGAGAGAGAGAGAGAGAACTAGAAGGCACAGTGTATTTATGTAGTCTACATATAGATCTTGAACTCGATCACAGAGGATGTCCTAGGCAGTGACGCTACATTCAGCAATGTCAACGACCAGCTGGAGTTCATCAGGCAGTCGTACGAAGAAGGCAGCGGTAATGCACCGTGTTTATCGCAACGACACCGCGCATGAATTATCTCGCACGAATTAATAATAACAATAATTATTATTTAATCGTTAATTTAATGCTCACGTCTTTTTCTGCGTCCGGAGAGATGCTCACGTGTTTTTCGATGCGCGGAGAGAGGCTCGTGTTTTTTCGGGGCGCAGAGAGATGCTCACATGTTTTTTCGTGGTGCAGAGAGATGCTCGCGTGTTTTTTCGGGGCACAGAGAGATGCTCACGTCTTTTTCGACGCGCGGAGAGATGCTCACGTGCTTTTTTTGGGCGCAGAGAGATGCTCACGTGTATTTTCCCGGCAGCGCGGAGATAGATGCTCACGTGTTTTTTCCAACTGCGCAGAGAGATGCTCACGTGTTTTTTCCAACTGCGCAGAGAGATGCTCACGTGTATTTTCCCGGCAGCGGGGAGAGAGATGCTCACGTGTATTTTCCCGGCTGCGCAGGCTCGGAGCTGTACGTGGTCGTGCACAGCGTGGATGGCGTGACGCTGCGCGGGCGGCGGGCGCAGGCCGTGCTCAGTCACCTTGCTCAGCTGCCTCACGTTCACCTGCTCGCCTCCATCGACCACATCAACGCTCCCGTCGGTAAGCAGACGCGCGCGTCGCGCCGCGGCCGGATGGGGGGGAGGGGCGTCGTCAGAAATAAAATAAATGCTGGAACCTTTGGACCCAGTAAAATTTACCAGATTTTCCGCAGACCCATCGACAGAAGCGTCGTAAATTGTTACGACACCATTATGTTTAAAGTTTAAAATAATACGGCGTTTTTCGCTGCGTGATGTTTTCATCACACGTCGGCTCGATTCGTGGCGAGACGTTGCGGCCGTCTCGCGAGCGAAGCGTGGTTTTCGCGCGCGGTGACGTCTCGATGTTTCGCAGTCTGGGACCAGAACCAGATGAGCCGCTTCAACTGGCTCTGGTACGATGCGACGACCTTTGAACCCTATGCGCAGGAGACGTCGTACGAGAACTCGCTGCTGGTGCAGCAGTCAGGTGAGAGGAACGGCGGGGAGGTCGGGCGCCGGGCCTGTCGGGGATTCGGGATTCGGGATTCGTCGTGCAGTAATCGCGTATATCTAGTGGCGGCATCTTTGCCGTGCGTTCGTGCACGTCGATTTATGTGCTATCGATACATATTTTCTGTCGAAATTATCCTACAGGTAGCATTGTTGTTATCACTGGCTGTGCTCATAAGCCTGCAGCAATCACCTCGATTATTTATTTTTATATTTCATTCTATTTTTTTTATTTCTTTTTATTTTATTATATTTATTTTATTTTATATTTTATTTCATATATTTTTAATTAAATTTTTTATTATCATTTATTCTGTGTGTTTCGTGCGCAGGTGTCCTCGCCCTGAGCTCGCTCACGCACGTCTTCCGTAGTCTGACGCCGAACGCTCGGGGAATCTTCCTCCTCGTCGCCACTCACCAGCTGGAGCAGAAGGACACCCCAGGCTACATCGGTACGTCATCGCTGATCGTGCCCATCTAGCATCCCGTAACTCCGGTGTAACGATATACTCGCTTGCAGAATCTTCAGAGTGATTGGATGACGTTAATGATTAGGGACCCACATGTGTGAGTTTAGCATGATATGAGATTCCAACAGTTCATGGGGGCTTTTTTTAGGTTTTATGTTAAGGTCTGTAAACTTTCTGTGTGATTTTATCTGTTGGATCCAAGCATTGAATAACAGCAACATTAACGATGGGTGGGATTTAAAGAGCGACGATCCACTTTACTCAACATTTTCCTCGTGCAAATATTCGCAAACAACAGTGGTAGGTTAAAAGCAAACGAGCAGTGCTCTTCTTCATACCTGCTTGCAATATTACCATGAATAAATAATCACACATTTTTTATTATTCACTCCCGATATTATGCATGCACACATTTACGTACGAGCTGTGTAACTCTTGCATAGCATTGGAGGTCCAGAGTTAAGAATACTTTGCACAACGTCCTGTGCACTCCTACACTCGCGCGAAACGTCCATGACCCTGCCGCCAGCACGAATGCACTCGTCATTGTTCTAGAACGTTCTCTCGTTGTTCCTCCCACGTTCGGCAGGTCTGTCGTTCCACGACTGTTACCAGAAGTGTCGCGAGGCGTTCCTGGTGAACAGTGAGCTGACGCTGCGAGCCCAGCTCACCGAGTTCCACGACCACAAGCTGATGAGATACAGGAAGGTGAGATTATTATTATTATTATTATTTTATTTTATATTGCGCCTTTTTTACATAAAATAATCAAAAGCGCAGCACGTCGATATCGAAAACGACTGAACAATAATATGAAATGATAATAAATGTGTACATGTGAGATATATCGCTACAACTGCGAGATAAAATGATATGAAAACAAAGTTAACTATGTACGAGCTGTGAGATGTGACGTAACGTACTGCCGTCTCTAGATAGAACAGCGTGATAGCCCGATGAGTTGCAGTGGAACTTGCTTCAATTCATGTTAAACGAATTACACGTAGGTTAGTGGCAAAGGAAAGTTAATAGTAGCAGTAGCAGTTATAGCAGCTGCAACAACAGCAACAGTTACAATAGCAGTCCTAGCATCCACAACAGCAGCAGCAGCAGCAGCAGCAATAGCAGCAGCAATAGAAACAGTTGCAGCAGCAGCAAGAGCATTAGCACCAGCAGTAGCAACAGCAGCAGTAGCAACAACAACAGCAGCAACAACAGCAGCAGCAGTATTATAGTAGTTGCATGTGGTACGTCTGTGATCGCATTTCGCTGGCTCTTGCAGGGCCCGGACGGAGCTCAGCACCTGTACATACCCCTGGAGGACGCCACACTGACTGAGTTTAAGGAACACCAGCTACAGGCCGTCTAGCAGCATGCCGTCCTTCCCTCTCTCTCACGTCTGCCTTCCTTCGTTCTCCCTCTCCTCTCTCCTACCACTGCCTTCCTTTCTCCTTTTCCTCTCTCCTGCGTCTGCCCTCCTTCTCTCTCCCACGTCTGCCTTCCCTCTTTCTCCCTCTCCTCTCTCCTATGTCTGCCCTCCTTCTCTCTCCCTCTCCTCTCTCCCACGTCTGCCTTCCCTTTTTCTCCCTCTCCTCTCTCCTACGTCTGCCCTCTTTCTTTCTCCCTCTCCTCTCTCCTACGTCTGCCTCCTTCTCTCTCCTTCTCCTCTCTCCCACGTCTGCCTTCCTTCTTTCTCCCTCTCCTCTCTCCTGCGTCTGCCCTCCTTCTCTCTTCTTCTCCTCTCTCCCACGTCTGCCTTCCTTCTCTCTCCTTCTCCTCTCTCCCACGTCTGCCTTCCTTCTTTCTCCCTCTCTTCTCTCCTACGTCTACCTTCCTTCTTTCTCCCTCGCCGCTCTCCTACATCTCTCTCCTGTTTTCTTCATCCACCTTGCCCTCTCCCATGTACTACGCCTATATTTTCGTTCTCCCTACCATACCCTATTCCAATATTCCTGTCCGCTTCCTGTCCTACTTATCCACTTTCCCTTCCCTTTCCCTTTCTTTTCTCTATTCCAATCTTCCCGCCCTTCACTCTTTTTTGCCTTCCTTTCTGTTCTCACAACCACTATTATTGCAGAGAAGGCTGCGATTCCTGCCAGCATGATGGTGAATGTACCGCACCCATCTGACCGTCCTGCCACTGTGTACATACATGATGGTGAATGTACCGTAAACATGGGGAGGGGAGGCCAGAAGCGCACATAATGTGATAACTACTCTGATGATATCACAATAAATAATTTCCCCTCTACCACGTATAACTCATAAATATATATATATATATATTTTTATAATGCATATGCATATATATATATATATATATATATGCATACGCGTGATGCGACAATGGAGTGTAATATGATCATGAATTATCATTCTTGTGTGCCTGTCACGTGTATGGAACGTGAAAATGGAAATCGATAGTGACATTAATTGTTCGACCGACCCCCACCTTCCCCATGTACAAACTTGATGTAAAAATCGTGAAATAAACAAACATTTTGCCACCCATTTTCATGTGTGCGTGCGTGCGTGCGTGTGTATGGGGGTGTGTACTGTGTAGCATGATGATGTCATGTGCTAAGCGTGATATATTGCAGTGTGTTGTAATTGACCTCAACGACAGCAAATGCTATTGTGTAGCAACGATTAGTATCATGAATTTCTGGTACAATGAATATATTTTTCTATATTTATACGACCTTTGTTGGTTCGCATTACTTTAAATACATGCATTATCATGTTTCGGAGATAGGATATATGTGACCCGCTCCAGCATAATACGGACTAAGTCGCAAGTCATTGTTTTGAGTAATGAGCACGCACACATGTCAATGCTGAAAATGGCCTACCTGGACAAAAATGAGATTTTTACAAAAATAAGTTCCTAAGTGCATATTTAATCTGGATATATAGGTTCAGATATCTCTAGATTATGATGGTCATTTTTAATTAAAAAATTTAAAAAAAATTTAAGAGCCCCTGAGGGCTCATCCCCGACTGGGCCCCTTACCCGGAACGCTTTATCTCAAAAGCTGCATATTCCGGAATAAGTTCGTTTCCGATCTTCAAATTGCTGTAGATCGGTCAATTCTTTAGATATAGCCAAATATTATATATCATTTTAAAGGTAATTAGATGATCTATTCAGATATGCACATTTGAACTCAATTTGTAGAATTTCCTACTTAATCCTGGTTTTGCTGGAGCGGGTCACATATGGTATACCAAGTGTGTGCCACTGTGGGAAGGGATGCAATGGAATGCACTCTGTACATTTAATTCATACATTCCTTTGTAAGACGAGATACATTTACATAGATTTAAAAAATAGTAACCGTTTCTAGAGTCAAACATGTGAATTTCAACAATTTGACTCTACAGACGAACTATGCTATCAATTCAAAGACAATACACTTGTGAAATTATACTCGCTCTCACATTTGATTCTTTAGATAGAAATTTCCATTCACCTCTACGTCTGAGTCTACTATTTAGGGATAACATCCCCTTTCTCCAAGCATCTGTCTTTCACATATATATGATCACCATTTTTTAATACAATTTTTCGTAGATTGTCAATAATTGAACAACGCGGACTAGAGGTACATACAAGCTGGTACCACGCCTGGGTCTAGTAAGCAGATGTTGCTATTGACAAATCTGACAGAGCATATTATAAACAGTGGCGACTAAGCCAACACATGCGGTGAACTATGTAGTTTATAGCTCTCATATTTATATGCCTTTTTTGTTGCCTACTGATATAAAACAGATTTGAGAGCAAGTTACTGTGAAAAACGCACACGCAGTGCTACTATTCCCATAAAAGACAAAATTGTATGCCACGACACAACGCTATGCATAACTAATGAATTTCTCTCATAAATATATATGTATATACTGGATATGCGAAGCTTCCATTTGGTGGTTGTGCGAAGCTTGGTTATCCAAATATACTGATTTACTCTCAAGGTTTTAAGCAAAATTTTACCGATTTTTCATTTTCAACTTTATTCGATGGCTAACACTATGTCAGTATGTGCCACCTCTGCACATGCTCATTACTCCATATAACGATACATGTGAACTTTCAGAGCGTTTTGATTGCCCGCGTACACGTTTACTGATTACCATAATGTAGGGAATGAGGTAGACATGTAGGTTACAGGCGCGATAAGACCGTACACGTGCGTCGTTAAACGACGCCATTAGGCACGCTATGTGCGAGCTATATATCGTGCACGCGGAACACGATCTCTGGGACTACGAATGTGCGATGCGTTCTATGACTACGGTATGCTCGTACTGACAATATTAATGACAGTGGCGAAGGGTCTTCATTTCGACCTCTTCCGGAGCATCGTCAGTGTGCAGGGGGTCAGCTGGTGGTTGACGGGCAGGGGCGTCGGGCGTTCGTGGTATGGGGTGGATGGTGGGGTAGGGATGCTCGGGAAGGAACGGTGTCGAGGCGGCCGTGACGGCGGGGCACGCGAGGTCAAACGTCGGGTTGGTGGCGGGCATGATCGTGCGGAAAAACGGCTGGCGGCAAGATATAGTGGGCATCATGGCTGGGCTTTAGTCGTGCCCCATTGCACGTGTGGCCCCGTGCGCCACAGAATGTGTGCCATAGTGCGTGCCATGCGCTGTTAATGGGCGAGCGTCGGAGAGGCGCGGGTGTAGTGGTTGCAGGCGCGGGTTGGCAGATGTTGGTGCTGCGGGTGGGGGCGTCATTCGGAGGATGCGACGGTATGCATTGCGTTAATAGGTTTACTACCGGCACAGGTTGCGACGATTCGGGCGTGCACAGAGACGCCGTAGTGGTGTGCTCCCTGAGCATGACGTTTGAGTGCGTTGGGTCGTCGGGCAGTGTGTGAGCAGTGTGACTGGTCTCGGTGTCCGTGGACGTTTCAGTGGATACACGGGCTCTAGAAGCCGTAGTATTCACTTCGTAGGTGGTTGTTTTCTGGCTGGGCACCACTGGCTGGATTCCTTGATCAGAGAAATCGTTGCCGGTGGGTGCGGCAGGTGGTGTTTTGCGGAAACATGCCAGCAGAATGAGATCGGTAGCGCTGAATTCACTGTCGGATGCCGATTGGCGCTGTGGAGGGTCGTCGCTGTGAGAATCTGGTTGCGAGTCGCTCGAGTGTGTGGATGCATCTGGATGCGCGAGCGTAGCTTGCCGCCGTGGCTGTTGCCTCGTGGGCGCGGCATGAGGCTGCGCAGTTGCCTTCTTGGGCACTGGGCGGGGCTTGTCCCAGCGAGCAGAGGGATGCGCTGCCCGGAGGTTGTCGATGTGGGCTGTAACGTGATGCATGCTCGACTCATGTTGAATGAGGCACTTCTTCGGGGACAGCATTTTGATTATAGTATAAAAGGGTTTCCAGGGTGATGCGAGCTTGCGTGTGGTGTCTGGTTGAAATACGGGGTCGTGGTAGTAGACCGGATCTCCGGCTTTGAAACGCTGTTCGCGCGCACGGCGATCATAGCAGCGTTTATTTTGCGCACGCATGTCACGGGTTGCGTCACGAATGTGGACGTATGCCTGATGGAAACGTTCGAGAGTTTGCTGAATACGTCTTCCTTCGAGGTAGGAGCAAGTTATCAAGCGGAAGCATTGGCTGCCTGCCATACAGCAGATAGAAGGGGAAGTGTTGCAATGTGCCGTGAATGCTTACGCGGTACGCTGAGAGCAGAGATGGGAGCAACAAGTCCCAATTAGTCTGCTGTCGGTTAACAATGCTGGCGATCATAGAATTTAAAACACGATGGAAGCGTTCACAAGCCACGTTAGATGCGGGGTGGTAGGGTGCGCAGTGGACTGCCGTTATGCCGAAGTGGCGGGTGAGGGCATCCATAACATTGTTGCAAAATTCGGTGCCGTTGTCGGAAAGTAGGATCTTCAGGCAGGAATGTCGGGGGATGATTTCGTTGACCAAGAGGTCAGTGACGGTCTGCGCAGACTTGTCCCGTACCGGAAAACACTGGCCAACTTGTATAAGTACAATGGAAATGAATGATGTAGCGATGGCCTCTGGGTGTCAGCGGAAATTGGCAGGTGTCAACTGCCACCACCTGGAACGGCGAATCTGGTAATGGCGCAGCTCCCAGTGGACGGTATGCGGTGGAGCTTGGCGGAGTTGCATGCCAACGTATGAATGGTGGCGTACATTCCTGGCCAGTAGAAGTGGCTGCGAATGAGTGCATACGTCTTGGGGAAACCAAGATACGCGGCTTGATGATGAGCCGCGGTAATGAGGTGTTGATATTTGCGTGGGATGACGAGTTGCATACTGGGGTCTTCATGCCGTGTGGGTTCAGCTGCGTAATAGATGAGGTCATCATCATCGATCAAGTAGCGTGTGACGGACTTTAGATCCTCCCAGTGCTGGAGCGGAAGTGGTGAGAATGGCGCAAATCTTACACAAGTGTGCGTCCT